ATCCAGAATACATAACGTTGTTGTTTTAGTTAAATAAAACAATTTAAATGTCTGTCTGGTGATCTCCTCCTCCTAATACAGCATGGCAAGAAAATCCTCCAAATATTAATGATTAACCTGTTGAATTGGAAATATTTATGAAGTCACTGGGAGGTGAACTATCTGCTTCAATTACCTTTGGTAAATGAAATAACCAAACAATCATTTATCTTCCACTATAGCTGTAAAATTAATCTGAAAAGTTTTCAAAATAAATCACTTTAAAAATGTATAGTGTGTACCTTCTAAAAATGAAACCTACATCTATCTGAGTTGTGAAGACTATGTATTAAGGTTATAACAACCAACAAGAATGCACTTTTATGTAGAAATCCATGATTAAATCAAGTCTGACTAGTGATTTTAAATCAAATTGATTTAAATCATGATTTAAATCAAATCCACCCTATTTCACTATTATTCATTTTAGCATAGGGATCGGCAACCTTCCCTCGGTCCATGCCGCTTCCCGCAGCCACCATTGGCCTGGAGCGGCGAACCGCAGCCAGTGGGAGCTGCAATCAGCTGAACCTGCAAATGTGGCAAGTAAACAAACCGGCCCGGCCCGCCACGGTGATTACCCCGGTGGGCCGCGTGCCAAAGGTTGCCGATCCCTGTTTTAGCAGAAACACCTAGCTCACATGCTTTATACATGGTGGATGGATTCATCGGATTCCATAAGCCTAATTAAACATTTTATAGTAACTACATTTGCTATCAAATTTTTGTGGAGGAGGGAACAGTTGGTCCTCAAAGAAGTCAATCTTGGAGGATTATAAATTGTCAATGCTTAAAGCACCCATTTCTTGAGTAATGGAAATTGGGAGATAAAGAAATGGGAAAGGAAGACTTAAATATTAAGGAAAAATGAGAAATTAGATGAGCAAGTCTACTTAGAAATTACTCAAACAGAAAACCAACACAATTATGTTAGTGTTTCCATATACTGTTAGAGCAAATTCTCTCAAAAAACACCCCACATTGTCCCATCAGTTTTCCTATAGTTTCCACAGATTTAAAAAGTCAAAATGTAACTGAAAGGGAAGCCGACAAACACCGTACAAAAAAAGCTTTCCACAAGAAACAGTCCCAGTTCTTCATCCCATTCCTTTTGGTTACCTTTGTCTTCCCCAAACTCTTCATGTGTGTCATTTTTATTAGAGATCTAGCTTTAGGGCCTATGTTGCTGACACTACCAGGAGTAATGTTTATACAACTTACTGCCAAAAAACTTCATTAATGCAGAGTTAAGATTGACTCACCCTGATGAGGCATAGCCATTTTCAAAACAATATGAGCAGGCATGTCAATTTTAGAGCACTAAAAAAAAAAAAATCTGCTTTTCAAAATAAAAGCTCAGCTCTTGGGGCAAAACTTCTAAAAGAACTTCCTTTAAAGCCTTTTAGCCCAAATAGAATGCACACAAGAGAATATTCATGTGCACAGCAATCATTCTTGGAAACCTGACAAGGGAAGGACTGTATCAAAAATCTCTTCCCTACCTAGGTACATGTAGCTCATAGACTAGAGGTGGACAAAGTACGGCCCGTGGGACCATCCTGCCCGGCCCTTGAGCTCCCAGCTGGGGACGCTAGCCCCCAGCTCCTCCCCCGCTGTCCCACCTCCCCCGCAGCCTCAGCTCACTGTGCCACCCGTGCTCTGGCCCGCCGAGTAATGCAACGGCGTGGCTGGCTCTGGCCGTGCGGCGGGGCTGCGAGCTCCTGCCGCTCTGAGCGGCATGGTAAGGTGGCAGGGAGAGGGAGTTGGATGAGGCGGAGGTTCTGGGGGCGTGGGTAGTCAGGGGACGGGGAACAGGGGTGGTTGAATAGGCATGGGAGTCCCGGAGGACCTGTCAGGGGACAGGGGTGTGGACAGGGGGCGGGGCAGTCAGGGGACAGGGAGCGGGGGGAGTGTTGGATGGGGGTGAGGTCCTGGAGAACGGTTAGGGGCGGTCAGGGGACAAGGAGCAGGGGGGATTGGATGGGTCAGAGGTTCTGAGGGGGCCAGTCAGGGGGCGGAAAGCGGGAGGGGGCAGATAGCGGGAGGGGGGTGAGGGCCAGGTTGTTTGGGGAGGCACAGCCTTCCCTACCCGGCGATGTGGCCCTCGGGCCAAAAAGTTTGCCCACCCCTGCCATAGACCCTGATGTGTGCGAATGTATAGAGTCAGACAGAACCTCTAATAAATCAGTTTGGGGCACACTAGTCCCATGGTTCAAGCTCCAGTTTGGGGGGCAGAGGAGTGTCTGTGTATGGAACCCCTGAACCAAATGAGCCCACTAACCCTACCCTCAGGCCATGATGAGCACAGCGGTTTTCAAGGTAATTTGAATATGCATGTGGATTAGAACCATTTGAAGCACTGATTGTTAAATCAAGCTGCCCAGTAAAAGCCACCACATAATGAATAACCCACATGATTATATATATATAAATATAAATATGAGAGAGAGAGAGACGGACCTATCTCCTAGACCTGGAAGGGACCCTGAGAGGTCATTGAGTCCAGCCCTCTGCCTTCACTAGCAGGACCAAGTACTGATTTTGTCCCAGATCCCTCAGGAATTGAACTCACAACCCTGGGTTTAGCAGACCAATGCTCAAACCACTGAGCTATCCCTCCTCCCTATAAACCATGCCCCCCTATTGTATAATATAAAATTAGAAGTACTGAGGCTCATTCACACTTGTAAGTCATTTCTCTGGCGTGAAGCAACTCAGTTGTACAAGGGTCCTGTCCACACATTCATTGGGTGCCCTGTCTTCAAGGAGGCTCAATTAAACACAATCAATTTTCTATGTTCAATTTTGCCAAGCACAACAAGTCAGCTACAGAAGTTAGTAGGGCCAAAGCCTTAGGAGACTAGAATGGACCTTATCCTAACACAATTCCATGTGATAAAGCCATTACAAGTAAAACATTTTAAAAACGTATTTAGCTCACTAGTAACGTTCTGTTAAACAAGTGCATTACTTTACACCACTGCTGCGCAGCCTCATTACACACATTGCTACAATAACTGCAGTAGACATTAAAATCTTTTCAATGTAAATGTAAGTCTGTTACTACAAAGGAAACTGACCCGTTGACATTCCAAAAACTCCTATCAGATTTTCACAAGAGCTTCAGATTTTCTTATGCCTGAAGTGAGGTCTGTATCACCATTCTTGCCAAAGGTTAGACTCAATTTTCAAAAGATGAGTTATACTAAAACCTTTAGCTATATAAAGAAGAGGGAAGACTGAAGTCTTAAATATTTCTTCCTCCCATGCATATACACCTCTACCTCGATATAACGCTGTCCTTGGGACCCAAAGTTACTGTGTTATAGGTGAAACCGCATTATATCGAATTTGCTTGATCCACCGGAGTGCGCAGCCCGGCCCTCCCAGAGCACTGCTTTACCGCGTAACCTGAATTTGTGTTATATCAGGTTGCATTATATTGGGGTAGAGGTGTACAACTTTTTGTGCATTCAGTAAATTTACTAGAAAAGTAATTACAAGGATCCAAACCATTAAGAACAATGACCAAATTCAGAGATTAATTTGACCTGATACTTTCAGTGCCATCACTATACTGGATGACCCATACCTCTCTCTGTCATGCCCTCACCACACATACAAAGCCACATCTTTAACTTCTCTAAAATATCCTTCATGTTCATTAAGATGTACAGTAGTTTAACTTCTAAGTAGTCCAGAGATTAGTATAAGACTCCAACTGTTTCATTAGTTAGAAATGCTGACAGAATTAGTCCTTGGTGCACTTATCACTTTGAGCACAATGGGTAGAGACAGTCACTAGACAATGAGACACCTCTCACATACCACATTAAAAACAAATTAACCTTATTTTATTTCCAATGGGAAAAAGTTACTCTAGGTCTTGAGCTTCAGGAGTACCAGCCAGAGGCCAGGTCTAATGAATATAAGAGAATGCAATATCCTTTGCATTGATTTGAAATGTCATTTCTAAGACACTGAACACACCATTCTTTACTTCAGCAACTAGATGCCAGAATCCTGTCAAAAACTGAATCCCTACTTCAAAAAGCTACACCCAAAATCCATTTCCAGAAAATAGTATGTGAAGCAATTCTATTTTAGCCACTTTGAAATTCCATTAACCTGGGTAAAAGCAGAAAGCAAACATTAAGTAAAATCTGGTTGATAAATATGACAAATGCACTGAAAATACAAACTTAGTATACATTATGAGATGAACTTTGGTTTTGCATTACTAATAGTCATTACTTTTGTAAATAGTTTAAAGATAGTATTAGTTACTGTCAAATAAACATATTTGCATTAAACAACAGTTGCAATCGCTCTTTGCAATACTATGATAAATCATTACCAAGTGGAGAGATCACTAGTTTCTTCACATTTCTGGGAGGACATATTTGCTAGTTTCATAAGTCAGTTATGCAAAAAACAGGGAAGAACAACATGGGGTCTTGCTAAGCAAGGGGTATCACTTCTACAGCTCCATAGTGTGAAAAAGGTGTGCTGCAGACACTAACACTGGGTTATATTATTTCAAAGTTTCAATCCTACCTGGATCAGGAAAGTGCTTAAAACAGTGCAGAATGTTCAGTTACATTAAAAAGTTTGCATATAACTAATAAATATCAGGTTAGCACTCAGTTCTTGCCATTGGATCCTAATTAATGTTTGTGTTTTTTATAAAGTTCATGTGTGCACTCAACCCCAGATGAATATATTTTTATGAACTGAAACAAACTGCATAGTTTTGTTTAAATATGCTTAATAGAAAAGTAATCTTTGAGTATCCTGTTACACCACAAATGTCAACAAATTAGTGTCCTGTTTTGTTTGGGAACAATTCTGCAAACACATGTGAATAGACCTTCAGTAAAGTTAATAGGATTATTCACATGATACACAATTTCCAGCCCCAGGAGAAGAGCAAGTTAATTTTAAAGCATTTTAAAGTTTACCATGTCTCCAAGGATCTTTAGGCTCCAGAGACCCAGACACTATGTCCTCATCAGAAGGAAATGTTACCCGCTTTGCCCCATGCTTGAGTTTTCCATCACCAGAAGGCGGAGAAGCCTCCACTTGTGGGTCACCCCCTGGACTCTCTGGACTTGGGGCTTCTGAGTCCAAAGAACAGTTATAGGAAGGCGGAGATGCCAACTTTTCCTGTGAGGGGGAAAGAGGGGCTTGCAGCAGAGATTTTTCATTTCCCCCGGGACATCCTCTGGCGGCAGCAGCCACCTCTGGCAAGTTTCTCCTCTCTGCAGCCAAGTGAGGGTTACCAGAAGCATCCTCATGCTCTGAAAAGGCTTCCTGAAGTGGATGGTTCACGACCAAAGAAGTCTCTTTCCCCTGTAACCGCTCCTCTCCCAGATCTAAGCCCTCCGGCTCCTTCCAGTCCCTCTTTGCAGAAGACACAGTTGCATGGCCCACCATTTCCCCGCTGGGAGCGTTTCCTGACGCCGGTGCGCTAGGCTTTGAGGGCAGGATCTCCGCATCCAGATGGGAGAGGAGAGCCAGGCCCAAACTTTCTTGGAGTTTCACCCCCATTTGGTCGCCAGCAGCATCCTCGTCCTTCGGCGAGGCAGCCCAGGGCTCGAAGCCGCCTAGTGTCTCCTCGTCCGTCTGCGGTCCAGGGGGCAGCCGCCGCCGCCGGTCCCCCTCAGCAGCACTCCCCGGCTGCATGGGGGGGACCTGCACACACTCCATGGCTGCACTCGCAGGGCAGGCCCGGCGGCCGGGAGGCACCGGGGCTCCCGCTCCCGCTCCCCTCCTCATGCGGGCCCAGGAGGCATTACTCCGGGGGCGCCCGCTCCCCCGCACCGCCGCAGACGCGCTCTGGGCCCGGGCCGCGCACCGAGACCCGGCAGGGCCCAGGCGGCCGGCGAGGTCTCCCCGGCCGGGCTGAGGGGCCCCGGCTGGGCTCGGCCGGCGGGGGGTGCAGAGCAGGCCGCGCCCCGGGAAGCCGCCGCGCCCGCCGAGCGCAGGCCCTGACTGGCGCGGACCCGGGAGAAGCCGCCGCCAGAAGAGTGCGCCAGCGACCTGCCCATCCGCGGCAGCACTTTCTCCACGGACTTGGGCGCGAGCCGCTGCTTCCACCCCGCCCGGCACCTCGGAGGGGCTCCTGCGGCCCTGGCTTGCTCACGGAGCCAGCCCGCCACCACCGCGGGGCGCTCCGGGGACTGCTCCGCCTGGTGGCGAATCAGCGGCTGGGATTCCTCACACACACACACACACGGCGGCGGCCGCCGTGGCCTGGGGAAGATGTCTGCAGCTTCGGCGCAGCACTTTCAACGCAGAGACCCCCGGGATGGAGCCGCGTTCAGGCGCCGGGGATTGGGGCTCAGCTCCCCCTGCAACAGTAACCCACGCGGCGGGCGCTGGTCTCCGCTGGAGAGCGGAGACCGCGCGAATCTGCTGCTACTAATAAACAGAGTGCGGCCAATACCCAGCGTCACGTGATACGTCCGCATTTCCCTGGCCTGCCCCAGGCGGGCTGCTGGCCCTTTAAATTCACTCGGGGGGCGGGACTGAGGCGAGCTCACATGCTGCGTAGCGCTCTGTCCCGCGGCGCGTCATGAGGCCCCACCCCAGCAGCCCCCGGTTCGCGCACAGCGCGGGACGGTAATGGGGGGGGGGGTCTCTCTGGTGTGTGTGAATCCGTGTGTGTGTGTGTGTGTGTGTGTCTGTTCTGTACAGCCTGTGTGTGTGAATCCGTGTGTGTGTCTGTTCTGTACAGCCAGTGTGTGTGTGTGAATCCATGTGTGTGTCTGTTCTGTACAGCCTGTGTGTGTGAATCCGTGTGTGTCTGTTCTGTACAGCCAGTGTGTGTGTGTGTGAATCCGTGTGTGTGTGTGTTCTGTACAGCCAGTGCGTGTGTGTGTGTGAATCCGTGTGTGTGTGTCTGTTCCGTACAGCCTGTGTGTGTGTGTGTGTGTGTGTGTCGTGTGTGAATCTTTCTCTCTCTCTCGCTGGGGTCTGTATGTTGTATATAGGCAGCATGTCTGTGTCTCCCTCTCTGTTGTGTGTGGCTAGTGTGTATGAATCCATGTATATGTATGTCTCTCCCTCTCTGTTGTGTGTGTGGCTCGTATGTGTGAAACCATGTGTATGTATGTATCTGTTGTGTATGGCTTTTCTATGTGGCCAGTGTGTGTGTGTGTGTGAATCCCTGCATGCGTCTCTCTCTTCTGTTGTGTGTGTGAATCCGTGTGTGTGTGTCTCCCTCTCTCTGTCTTGTATGGCCACTGTGTGTGAATCCATGTGTGTGTCTCTCTGTATGTGGCTAGTGTGTGTGAATCCCTGTATGTTGTGTGACTGTCTCTCTCTCTCTCTCCAAGATATGTGAATCCCTGCATGCATCTCTCTCCCTCTCTCTGTTGTCTGTATGTTGTATATAGCTGGTATGTCGCTGTCTCCCTCTCTTTCATGTGTGTGAGACCAGTGTCCGTGAAACCATGTGTATCTGTTGTACATGACTTGTGTGTCTCTCTTTCTTGTGTGAGAATCATTGCATGCATCTCTCTCTCTCTCTCTCTCGTGTGTCTCTGTGTGTGTCTCTTTCTCCCTCTGTCTGGGGGGGGGGGGGGTCTCCCTATGTGTGTGAGAATCCATCTGTGTGTGTGTGAGAGAGAGAGAGAGAGAGAATCCATCTCTCTGTGTCTCCCTCTGGGGGGGGAGGAGAGAATCCATCTGTGTGTGTGAGAGAGAGAATCCATCTGTGTGTGTGTGTGAGAGAGAGAGGGAATGCATCTGTGTCTCCCTCTGTGTGTGTTTCTCCCTGTGTGTGTGAGAATCCATGTGTGTGAGAGAATCCATCTGTGTGTCTCCCTGCGTGTTTCTCCCTGTGTGTGAGAATCTGTTTGTCTCCCTCTGTGAGTGTGTGTGTGTGTGTGTGTGTGTGAGTGTGTGTGTGAGAGAGAGAGAGAGAATCCCTCTGTGTGCGAGAATCCCTTTGTGTGGTTGTGACAAAAATAATTCATCTGTGTATGTGTCTCCCTGTGTGTGTGTGTGTGTGAGAGAGAGAATCCGTGTGTGTATCAATCCATCTGTGTGTGTCTCCCTCTGTGTCAGAGAGAATCCATCTGTGTGTGTGTGTGTGAGAATCCATCTGTGTGTCTCCCTCTGTGTTGTGTGTGTGTGTGTAAATCCATGTGTGTGTGTCTCCGTCAGGGCCAGCTCTACCATTTTTGCCTCCCCAAGCAGAAAAAAAAAAAAGCCGCGATCAGCGGCAGCTCTACCGCCGCTTCATTCTACCGCAGCAATTCGGCGGCAGGTCCTTCGCTCCGAGAGGGAGTGACGGCCCCGCCGCCAAATTGCCGCCGAATGGCCAGACGTGCTGCCCCAGGCACCTGCTTGCTACGCTGCTGCCTGGAGCTGGCCCTGGTCTCTGTGTGTGTCTGTGTGAGAATCCATCTGTGTGTGTGAGAGAACAAATTATCGTGTGTGTTTGATGGTGATAAGGGGTTGCAACCAAGTGGTTCAGCCCATGAACTTCCCAAAGACGTTTTAATGGTCACTACGAGGAAGTTAGTTCCCGAATCCGTAAGGATGTCGGAAGGCCAACGTACCCTGGCAAAAATGTCTGCCAATGCCTGGCTCATGCTTTTAGCCCTGGTGTTGCTTAGACCTACTGTTTCTGGCCATTGGGTGGCAAAATCCATGAAGGTCAGTATGTACAGCTTTCCTCTGGGTGTCTTCTTAAGGAAAGGACCCAGAATATCCACAGCTACACACTGAAATGGTACCTCAATTATGGGGAGTGGCTGGAGAGGGGCCTTGATCTGGTCTTGGGGCTTTCCCACCCTCTGGCATACCTCACAAGACCGGACATAGGTAGAAACTTCCTTTTCCATTCCCTCCCAGTGGAATGACTTTCCCAAACGGTCTTTGGTCCTGTTTACCCCAGCATGCCACTAGGGTGATTGTGCGCTAAGCTCAAGAGCTTTTTCCTATCCTTAGTTGGAACTACCAACTATCTCTGAGGATACCAGTCCTCTTTTTGTCCACCAGAAAGGGTCTCCTTGTATGAGAGTCCTCCTTTAGAGTCCACACAAAGTTGCCAACTTTGTCCACATATCTATTCAGGGGACACCATCATAGGACCTAATCACATCAGCCACACTATCAGAGGCTCGTTCACCTGCACATCTACCAGTGTGATATATGCCATCATGTGCCAGTAATGCCCCTCTGCCATGTACATTGGCCAAACCGGACAGTCTCTACGCAAAAGAATAAATGGACACAAATCAGACGTCAAGAATTATAACATTCAAAAAACAGTCGGAGAACACTTCAACCTCCCTGGTCACTCAATTACAGATCTCAAAAGTCGCAATACTCTAACAAAAAAAATTCAAAAACAGACTCTAATGAGAAACTGCGGAATTAATTTGCAAACTAGACATCATTAAATTAGGCTTGAATAAAGACTGGGAGTGGATGGGTCATTATACAAAGTAAAAACTTTTCCCATGCTAATTTTTCCCCCCTACTGTTATTCATACCTTCTTGTCAACTGTTGGAAATGGGCCATCCTGATTATCACTACAAAAGTTTTTTTTCTCCTGCTGATAATAGCTTACCTAATAGCTCACCTTAATTAATTAGTCTTGTTACAGTTGGTATGGCAACACCCATTTTTTCATGTTCTCTGTGTATATGTATCTTCCTACTGTATTTTCCACTGCATGCATCCAATGAAGTGGTTTTTACCCCACGAAAGCTTATGCTCAAATAAATTTGTTAGTCTCTAAGGTGCCACAAGTACTCCTCGTTCTTTTTGCTGATACTGACTAACACGGCTACCACTCTGAAACCTCCTTTTACAACAAACCTGGACCTATTAGAAGAGCTGAGAGGCAGTGGGTCGCTCCGTGACGCCATCTAAGCTCCCTTGAGGCTCTCATCTGCTTCCTGCTCTTCCTGGAACTGCTCCCTTGATGCTGGAGACATTAGTTCCTCGCTGGGTTGTGGACTTGGGCTTGGTCCCACCGGAAGCAATGTAGGTGATGGGGGTGTCTCCGTCGATTGTGAACCGCTTTCTGCTGGTGCAGTAGGTTGTATTTCAGGCTTCAGCTGAACTTGCGCCAGTTTAGCTGCAGGTGCAGGTTCTGTGGCGCCCTTTGGTGCTGGCTCCCCTGACTCTGGTGGGGTTGCAAGCACGGGCTCTGGTGCTGACTGCTCTTCCAGTTCCAGCTCTTGGGCTGGTTCCGACTGGGTCCCAGGAACTGGATTTACAACCGCTGCCATAGACTCTGGTCTGGGGTCTGGTTCCACCACCTCTGGCTGGGCTCCCAGACCTGTCATATCAGGGGATGCAGACTGGGCCCTTGTAGGAGGCTCAAGATAGGAGTTAGCTGTGGGGGCTGGTTTAGCCTGGCAGCAGGTGACCATCCCCACCCTTTTTGTTAGCCTCACATGGTTGGCTACATCTTCTCCCAGCAGCATGGGAATGGGATAATCGTCATAGACTGCAAAAGTCCATATTCCTGACCAGCCCTTGTACTGGACAGGCAACTTGGCTGTAGGCAAGTTAAAAGAGTTGGCCTTTAGGGTTGCACTGTTACTTGGGCCTCTGGGTTGATGAATTTGGGGTCCACCAGGGATTGGTGGATAGCTGACACCTGTGCTCCATTGTCTCTCAACGCAGTAATCTTCCTTCTGCCCACACACACAGTTTCCCTTCGCTCTGGGGGTATTTGCGAGGCATCTGGGCCTGAAGGCTCCTGGTGGAACCCCGCGGTGATGAGTTGCAGTCAGCTGGTGCTCTTGGGGCACTTGGCCTTCACATGCCCCAGCTCATTACATTTAAAGCATCGCCCAGCTGACTGTGGTCTGGGGCGAGGTGGGTGGTTGGAGAATAGGGTGGTGGGATGAGAAGGTGTCTGGGGTCTCCCTGGCTGTGTGGAGGACTCCTCCTTGCGAGGTGGGGCCTTGGGCTGACCCCGATGGTGGGGTGTCATCTCGGGTTGCCCCTTCTGGTATTCCCACCAACTGCTACTAGCTTTCTTCTTCTCTGCCACTTCCACCCATTTAGCTCCAATC